AGCTTTGGACATATGCATAAGGACACATTAATTTAGTCACTCAATTTGTATTGAATGCTTGCTATGCTATAGGGACCAGTCTACATCCTATAAACGCATCATGGTTCAAAACAAAATGTTCTCATTCATGGAATCTACATTTTTTTGGAGAGAAAACCAAACATACCAATAATGAGTCAATTATGGCTCATTGTGACCCTAACAGACCACGTAGGCCTTCCCCTGTGAGTTTTCAAGGTTATAAAATATTATGGAATAGAAAGCCTCATGTTTCTACTGTGGAGCAACTGATGAAATTGAACTGCTGACCTTGTGGTTAGCAGTCCATTGAGAAATCCACTACTCCACCAGGGCTCCTTGGATCTTCATGAAACTCTCAAGACTCACGGCCAACAAGTCAATTCTGACTGCTGGCAACCCTATAGAGCAGGATAGAACTGCCCCTGAGGGTTTCTGGAACGCTAACTTTTTATGGACGTAGAAAGACTCATCTTTCTCCTGTGGATGGACTGGTGATTCTGAACAGCTGGCCATGAAAATCATATGGATCAGTCTTACGGTGACACATCTGGAATCACTAAGAACAAGAATTGACCCCATGGTAACAATAACAACAGAAAACTTACAATCATAGGATTTAATGTGATGAGGGAGTAACAGAGCAGAATTTATCTACAGTAATATACTCCTTTATTAAACATTTAAAACATATTAAGCAGTATAATAAATGATGCTTTTGTATACACACATAGAAAATAGAGTTCTAGAAAATCAATATACCAGATTAAGTATGATACTGTCTGGTACTGAAGGATGGCACAGGGAAAATGTACAGCAGGTGAGTCAAATTCACTGGTACTATGCTGATATATACATTTGTAATACACATAACATATGCATGTAAATGAATTATATATACGTAGATGTGCATGTACTTAACCATTGGCTCAGCACATGCACAGCATTCATTTTCAATTATCTTTGTCCAAAAACAGTAAAGAGGAGATTTGTTAGTTTGACCCCACACATACACCCCACTTCCCCACCACTGCCCCATGAAAATGGCATGCAGACACAGCACAGCTGGCCAGGTTAAGGTTGCCTTCTCTGGAACTGGGCACAACTATTTCTGAATATTACGGAATTGAAGATGGATGGAATCTATCATCACCAACTGATAATTTTTCAATCATGTTTATCAGTCTGGTTGTATGGTGCTAAAAGTGCATGTTAATATTGTCATCTGGCTCCACCACTCTATTTTATAGAGAAAGAAACTGAAATCTAGAGACAACTCAGAGTTGGCACAGGATGACAAAGCTAAGCGGTCCTTAATTCTTTCCATCTATACTTGTAGCCTTCAAAAATCTGCCTTCAAGTTCAGAAGCAATCTATGTAAATCCTACATGGAAAGAAAAGCATCCTCATTCTCTGTCCTGCACTGAAAGAATCCCTGAAAGATTGCATCTTCACCAATATAAGCCAGCAACGTAAACCGCAGCAGGTGAGTCAACTACTTGGCCAAAATTAAGAGAAATAAAACTGGGAGGAAATTAATCATACTAAGGTCTTTTCTTTATTGCAATTCTTATTTTGTGATGTGCAGCATTTAGGGAGGAAAGAATGATGCAGAAGGTGTTAGACAAAAGCATGTTCACCCTTTAGGCAATGTAAATCTTTCCTCAAGTCTTTATTGTGAATTTAAAAGATATTTCACCAAAACACATCATACTTAAGCAACTTGCTAGATTATCAGTCTGAGGGAAAAAAATCATATCCATCAGAATACAACTCAATTAGGCAAATAATTAATGAGCATAGCTATATGACTAGCTGAAGAGTTGCCAGTTCAAACCCACCCAGAGGAGACTTTGAAGCCAGGCCTGGTGATCTACATCACAGCCTTGAAAACCCTAGGGAGCCATTCTACTCTGCACACACAGGCATACCGGTTATTTTGATCTTCTCTGCACACATGAGTTTACCAGGAGTGGTAATCGATCCAATAACAACTGACAATAATCACCACAAAGACTTACCAGAAAAGACATTAGAGATTTTAGGAAACAATATGGTGCCCTCCATAATTGTAGAATAGCACATATTTCTTCCGTTATTTGTATATGACTATGCAGATTCGAAAAGCGAGGAGTGCAATCACTCTTGGTTTTGAAGCAAGTTTTCAAAAGTGAATAGATTCTAGATGTGTTGAAGATTTTCTTTGGCTATTAACAACTCCATAGCCACACTCATTTCAGAGTTAAATTAGTTAAAAACTATCTTCAGGTATCCTATTATTAACATTTTAATATCTATCTCAAAATAATATAAGCAATATTCTATAACAGGTCTTCCTGTCATTATCAGGCTACAAAGCTAAATCAAGTTCACTGCCATTGGGCTGATTTGGACTCATAACAACACTATCTCTAGGGTTTCCAAGATTGCCTATCTTTGCCGATCCAGGCAGTGTCACCTTTCTGCCATGGAGCGGATGGTGAGTTTGTGCTTAGCAACAAAACCCCTAATCCCACAGCACCACCAGGGCTCCTTATTTTGCTATATACACTGTAAAAACTTATCATAACCCACCTTCCCTCCATGATCACTGAAGACAAAATGGGCACAGAAAACTGATGGTACCTGGCTATTAAAAGATACAGCATTTTGGGTCTGAAAGGCTTGAAGTTAAACAAGTAGCCATCTAGCAGGGAAGCAACAAAGCCCATATGAAAGAAACACACCAGTCTGTGTGATCCTGAGGTGTTGAGGGGGATAGGTATCAGAAGTTCAAAAACAAGCAATCAAATTGACAAAGTGCAAACCCAAAACCCACTTGTAAGATAATTGGATGATCCATCACAGAAGGGCCATATGGAAGGGATGGTATAGCACTGATAAGACATATAACTATCCTCTAGTTCTTTAATATTTCCTCCCACTACTATTATGACCTTTGTTTTACCTCATTAATCTTGTTAAACCTGATTATGATAATTTGTATAATTAAGAGTGGTACATGCATGAAAGCCAAACTACAAGAAACTACAAGAGAAATGATTCCCTGAGGGTATGGGAAGGAAAAAGGAAGGGTAAACTGATAGCAGTGATGACCGTATAACCCCACTCTGGGGGAACAAATAACAGAATTGCAGGTGAATGGATACACTGGATTGTGGGACTATAAAGAGACATTTCCCCAGCTTTGTCTCCCCCAAAGACATGCTCAACATTAGGGGCTTTTTGCCAGCATGTGTGGGGGGAGGTCAAAGGCTTACAGGCATCCTCCCTGAAGGCAACCAATCACCAGATTAGGCAGGCCCTGCTCCCTGCTGTTAAGGACCATGGGCTAAAGGCCTGCAGACATTGATTTGGTTCCTGTAGGTGGGCTTCACACCCTACTGATAATGGTGTCTATGGAGATCCAGAGAACAGATCAAACCAGCTCAGTTATATCCAGAGTTAGGCTGCCATCCTGTATTTAGGATCTGCCCATTGTGTCACATGTATACCCCCAATCCCTCCTCTTCCTATTGCGTGTATATCCCTAGATTGTCCCTCTCTCATTGCTGTAAGACCTATAGTGCAACCCCTTCCTGTGCCGTATGTCTTCACCTGTAATTAGTGGGCTTGCACTACCCCCAAATATATATAGACCTGGGCTAACAATAAATCTCTCCCTGCTCCTCCCTTGGCCTCTCGTAGGCTCCCCCTCTCCTCTCCCCTCCTTGCTCCCCTGTTTCCTTTCCCCTTGTCCTCCTTCCCCTCTCTCTCTCTCCATGTGGACCACCAGGTGAGGCTGAGGTGAGCATTGCTACCATGAATTTTGTCTGACTCCATTATTTCTCTCTCTCTTCTATCTCTCATGCTCTTTATGACTTTACTATAATCTTTAATTATTATCACTGTACAATTGCGCCTACAGACCCATGATGATGTGCTAGGGGCAGGCTTCCCCTTGCACTGGATGGTGTAAGATATGACAAATAATAATAATATATAATGATAAGGGTTCCTGGGGGTCAGGGTGGAGGAGGAGGAGGTTAAAGGGGGTATAAAGGAGTTCAAGAAGAAAGAAAATGCCTTGAAACTGATGGTAGTAGCAATTGTAAAATTATGCTTCATCTAACTCAATTATGGATTTCATATCTATAAGAGCTCCCAATAAAATGGCTCATTTTATATATATAATTTTAAAAACGTTATAATAGTATTATACTTTTCAAATCAGCAATTTTTTTGTCCACTGAAATATACATTATATACATGTATTCCATGTCTACCTTAACTGCAATTCTCATCTGCCTGAAATTGAAAG